CATCCCTAAAAACCTGCCCCCTGACGCTTTTACAGCTTTCTGATCGACGATAACTCGGTTGGGCGTCCCTGATTACCTGGGCTTAACCCGCCTGGAGCGCTGTAGAGCCGCCACCGACCTTATGTCCACTGAGAATAGAGTCCAAAATGATGGGTGAAGATGTGTTGAGGTGTATGGGAGTGTGTCCTCCACGGAGGTGATGACGTAGGGAGTGACGGAGGGGGAGGTGGGGGAGGAGGATGGGTAATGAGTCTCCTCCACCTGCCTTACTCATTATTAGGTCCTCATTGCCGCAATAAACGGACCAAATGACTCCGATGCGGTCCGGACCTCGCTCCAGCGACCGACCTTATTATTAAGACCGGTTTACAGCCCTGGAGGACGCCTGGCGCGCCTCCTAATTGTTGGTCGAGACCTGCTTGGTCGTCGACCACACCACCACCAGGCCCCGGGTGTTGGAGGGGCGGTGTTGGAAGCCCCGGGTGTTGGAGGGCACGGGTGTTGGAGGCCACGGGTGTTGGAGGGGCGGAGTTGGAGGCCCCGGGTGTTGGAGGCCACGGGTGTTGGAGGGGTGGTGTTGGAGGCCACTGGTGTTGGAGGCCCCGGGAGTTGGAGGGGCGGTGTTGGAGGCCACGGGTGTTGGAGGGGAGGTGTTGGAGGCCACGGGTGTTGGAGGAGCGGTGTTGGAGGCCCCGGGTGTTGGATGCCCCGGGAGTTGGAGGAGCGGTGTTGGAGGGGCGGTGTTGAAGGCCACGGGAGTTGGAGGCCCCGGGTGTTGGAGGCCCCGGGTGTTGGAGGGGTGGTGTTGGAGGCCCCGGGTGTTGGAGGCCCCGGGTGTTGGAGGCTCCAGGTGTTGGAGGCCCCGGGTGTTGGAGGGGCGGTGTTGGAGGCCCCGGGTGTTGGAGGGGCGGTGTTGGAGGCCACGGGTGTTGGAGGCCCCGGGTGTTGGAGGGGCGGTGTTGGAGGCCCAGGGTGTTGGAGGCCACGGGTGTTGGAGGCCCCGGGTGTTGGTAGCCACGGGTGTTGGAGGCCCCGGGTGTTGGAGGCCACGGGTGTTGGAGGCCCCGGGTGTTGGAGGGGCGGTGTTGGAGGCCACGGGTGTTGGAGGGGCGGTGTTGGAGGCCACGGGTGTTGGAGGGGCGGTGTTGGAGGCCACGGGTGTTGGAGGCCCCGGGTGTTGGAGGCCACGGGTGTTGGAGGCCCCGGGTGTTGGAGGCGCCGGGTGTTGGAGGAGCGTTGTTGGAGACCCCGAGTGTTGGAGGGGCGGTGTTGGAGGCCACGGGTGTTGGAGGCCCCGGGTGTTGGAGGGGTGGTGTTGGAGGGGCGGTGTTGGAGGCCACGGGTGTTGGAGGCCCCGGGTGTTGGAGGCCACGGGTGTTGGAGGCCCCGGGTGTTGGAGGAGCGTTGTTGGAGGGCCCGAGTGTTGGAGGGGCGGTGTTGGAGGCCACGGGTGTTGGAGGCCCCGGGTGTTGGAGGGGTGGTGTTGGAGGCCCCGAGTGTTGGAGGGACGGTGTTGGAGGGGCGATGTTGGAGGGGCGGTGTTGGAGGCCACGGGTGTTGGAGGCCCCGGGTGTTGGAGGGGTGGTGTTGGAGGCCCCGAGTGTTGGAGGGGCGATGTTGGAGGCCCCGGGTGTTGGAGGGGCGATGTTGGAGGCCCCGGGTGTTGGAGGGGCGGTGTTGGAGGCCACGGGTGTTGGAGGCCCCAGGTGTTGGAGGAGTGGTGTTGGAGGCCCCGGGTGTTGAAGGCCCCGGGTGTTAGAGGAGCGGTGTTGGAGGCCCCGAGTGTTGGAGGCCACGGGTGTTGGAGGGGCGGTGTTGGAGGACCCGGGTGTTGGAGGGGCGGTGTTGGAGGCCCCGGGTGTTGGAGGGGTGGTGTTGGAGGCCCCGGGTGTTGGAGGCCACGGGTGTTGGAGGCCACGGGTGTTGGAGGCCCCGGGTGTTGGAGGCCCCTGGTGTTGGAGGACCCGGGTGTTGGAGGCCACGGGTGTTGGAGGCCCCGGGTGTTGGAGGCCCCGGGTGTTGGAGGCCCCTGGTGTTGGAGGCCCCGGATGTTGGAAGCCCCTGGTGTTGGAGGCCCCGGGTGTTGGAGGCCCCGGGTGTTGGAGGCCCCGGGTGTTGGAGGCCACGGGTATTTGAGGCCCCGGGTGTTGGAGGCCCCGGGTGTTGGAGGCCCCGGGTGTTGGAGGCCCCGGGTGTTGGAGGCCACGGGTATTGAAGGCCACGGGTGTTGGAGGCCACGGGTGTTGGAGGCCCCGGGTGTTGGAGGCCCCTGGTGTTGGAGGACCCTGGTGTTGGAGGCCCCGGGTGTTGGAGGCCCCTGGTGTTGGAGGCCCCGGGTGTTGGAGGCCACGGGTGTTGGAGGCCCCGGATGTTGGAGGCCCCGGGTGTTGGAGGCCACGGGTGTTGGAGGCCCCAGGTGTTGGAGGCCCCGGGTGTTGGAGGCCCCGGGTGTTGGAGGCCACGGGTATTGGAGGCCCCTGGTGTTGGAGGCCCCGGGTGTTGGAGGCTCCGGGTGTTGGAGGCCCGGGTGTTGGAGGCCCCGGGTGTTGGAGGCCCCGGGTGTTGGAGGCCCCGGGTGTTGGAGGCCCCTGGTGTTGGAGGCCCCCGGGTGTTGGAGGCCCCTGGTGTTGGAGGCCCCTGGTATTGGAGGCCCCGGGTGTTGGAGGCCCCGGGTGTTGGAGGCCCCGGGTGTTGGAGGCCCCGGGTGTTGGAGGCCCCTGGTGTTGGAGGCCCCGGGTGTTGGAGGAGCGGTGTTGGAGGCCCCGGGTGTTGGATGCCCCGGGAGTTGGAGGAGCGGTGTTGGAGGGGCGGTGTTGAAGGCCACGGGAGTTGGAGGCCCCGGGTGTTGGAGGCCCCGGGTGTTGGAGGGGTGGTGTTGGAGGCCCCGGGTGTTGGAGGCCCCGGGTGTTGGAGGCTCCAGGTGTTGGAGGCCCCGGGTGTTGGAGGGGCGGTGTTGGAGGCCCCGGGTGTTGGAGGGGCGGTGTTGGAGGCCACGGGTGTTGGAGGCCCCGGGTGTTGGAGGGGCGGTGTTGGAGGCCCAGGGTGTTGGAGGCCACGGGTGTTGGAGGCCCCGGGTGTTGGTAGCCACGGGTGTTGGAGGCCCCGGGTGTTGGAGGCCACGGGTGTTGGAGGCCCCGGGTGTTGGAGGGGCGGTGTTGGAGGCCACGGGTGTTGGAGGGGCGGTGTTGGAGGCCACGGGTGTTGGAGGGGCGGTGTTGGAGGCCACGGGTGTTGGAGGCCCCGGGTGTTGGAGGCCACGGGTGTTGGAGGCCCCGGGTGTTGGAGGCGCCGGGTGTTGGAGGAGCGTTGTTGGAGACCCCGAGTGTTGGAGGGGCGGTGTTGGAGGCCACGGGTGTTGGAGGCCCCGGGTGTTGGAGGGGTGGTGTTGGAGGGGCGGTGTTGGAGGCCACGGGTGTTGGAGGCCCCGGGTGTTGGAGGCCACGGGTGTTGGAGGCCCCGGGTGTTGGAGGAGCGTTGTTGGAGGGCCCGAGTGTTGGAGGGGCGGTGTTGGAGGCCACGGGTGTTGGAGGCCCCGGGTGTTGGAGGGGTGGTGTTGGAGGCCCCGAGTGTTGGAGGGACGGTGTTGGAGGGGCGATGTTGGAGGGGCGGTGTTGGAGGCCACGGGTGTTGGAGGCCCCGGGTGTTGGAGGGGTGGTGTTGGAGGCCCCGAGTGTTGGAGGGGCGATGTTGGAGGCCCCGGGTGTTGGAGGGGCGATGTTGGAGGCCCCGGGTGTTGGAGGGGCGGTGTTGGAGGCCACGGGTGTTGGAGGCCCCAGGTGTTGGAGGAGTGGTGTTGGAGGCCCCGGGTGTTGAAGGCCCCGGGTGTTAGAGGAGCGGTGTTGGAGGCCCCGAGTGTTGGAGGCCACGGGTGTTGGAGGGGCGGTGTTGGAGGACCCGGGTGTTGGAGGGGCGGTGTTGGAGGCCCCGGGTGTTGGAGGGGTGGTGTTGGAGGCCCCGGGTGTTGGAGGCCACGGGTGTTGGAGGCCACGGGTGTTGGAGGCCCCGGGTGTTGGAGGCCCCTGGTGTTGGAGGACCCTGGTGTTGGAGGCCACGGGTGTTGGAGGCCCCGGGTGTTGGAGGCCCCGGGTGTTGGAGGCCCCTGGTGTTGGAGGCCCCGGATGTTGGAAGCCCCTGGTGTTGGAGGCCCCGGGTGTTGGAGGCCCCGGGTGTTGGAGGCCCCGGGTGTTGGAGGCCCCGGGTGTTGGAGGCCCCGGGTGTTGGAGGCCCCGGGTGTTGGAGGCCCCGGGTGTTGGAGGCCCCGGGTGTTGGAGGCCACGGGTATTGAAGGCCACGGGTGTTGGAGGCCACGGGTGTTGGAGGCCCCGGGTGTTGGAGGCCCCTGGTGTTGGAGGACCCTGGTGTTGGAGGCCCCGGGTGTTGGAGGCCCCTGGTGTTGGAGGCCCCGGGTGTTGGAGGCCACGGGTGTTGGAGGCCCCGGATGTTGGAGGCCCCGGGTGTTGGAGGCCACGGGTGTTGGAGGCCCCAGGTGTTGGAGGCCCCGGGTGTTGGAGGCCCCGGGTGTTGGAGGCCACGGGTATTGGAGGCCCCAGGTGTTGGAGGCCCCGGGTGTTGGAGGCTCCGGGTGTTGGAGGCCCGGGTGTTGGGGGCCCCGGGTGTTGGCGGCCCCGGGTGTTGGAGGCCCCGGGTGTTGGAGGCCCCTGGTGTTGGAGGCCCCCGGGTGTTGGAGGCCCCTGGTGTTGGAGGCCCCTGGTATTGGAGGCCCCGGGTGTTGGAGGCCCCGGGTGTTGGAGGCCCCGGGTGTTGGAGGCCCCGGGTGTTGGAGGCCCCTGGTGTTGGAGGCCCCGGGTGTTGGAGGCCCCGGGTGTTGGAGGCCCCGGGTGTTGGAGGCCCCGCGTGTTGGAGGCCACGGGTATTGGAGGCCCCGGGTGTTGGAGGCCCCGGGTGTTGGAGGCCCCGGGTGTTGGAGGCCCCGGGTGTTGGAGGCCCCGGGTGTTGGAGGCCACGGGTGTTGGAGGCCACGGGTGTTGGGGCAAGTGAATCTACCAAAAGTTGGCGTGTGATAGAGCTTGAGGGTCTCCATGGGTTGAGGGTCTTAATGGGTTGAGGGTCTCCATGGGTTGAGGGTCTCCATGGGTTGAGGGTCTCCATGGGTTGAGGGTCTCCATAGGTTGAGGGTTTCCATGGGTTGAGGGTCTCCATGGGTTGAGGGTCTCCATGGGTTGAGGGTCTCCATGGGTTGAGGGTTTCCATGGGTTGAGGGTCTCCATGGGTTGAGGGTTTCCATGGGTTGAGGGTTTCCATGGGTTGAGGGTCTCCATGGGTTGAGGGTCTCCATGGGTTGAGGGTTTCCATGGGTTGAGGGTCTCCATGGGTTGAGGGTCTCCATGGGTTGAGGGTCTCCATGGGTTGAGGGTCTCCATAGGTTGAGGGTCTCCATGGGTTGAGGGTCTCCATGGGTTGAGGGTCTCCATGGGTTGAGGGTCTCCATGGGTTGAGGGTCTCCATGGGTTGAGGGTCTCCATGGGTTGAGGGTCTCCATGGGTTGAGGGTTTCCATGGGTTGAGGGTCTCCATGGGTTGAGGGTCTCCATGGGTTGAGGGTCCCCATGGGTTGAGGGTCTCCATGGGTTGAGGGTCTCCATGGGTTGAGGGTTTCCATGGGTTGAGGGTCTCCATGGGTTGAGGGTCTCCATGGGTTGAGGGTCTCCATGGGTTGAGGGTCTCCATGGGTTGAGGGTGTCCAGGGGTTGAGGGTCTCCATGGGTTGAGGGTCTCCATAGGTTGAGGGTCTCCATGGGTTGAGGGTCTCCATGGGTTGAGAGTCTCCATGGGTTGAGGGTCTCCATGGGTTGAGGGTCTCCATGGGTTGAGGGTCTCCATGGGTTGAGAGTCTCCATGGGTTGAGGGTCTCCATGGGTTGAGGGTCTCCATGGGTTGAGGGTCTCCATGGGTTGAGGGTCTCCATGGGTTGAGGGTCTCCATGGGTTGAGAGTCTCCATGGGTTGAGGGTCTCCATGGGTTGAGGGTCTCCATGGGTTGAGGGTCTCCATGGGTTGAGGGTCTCCATGGGTTGAGGGTCTCCAAGGGTTGAGGGTCTCCAAGGGTTGAGGGTCTCCGTGGGTTGAGGGTCTCCATGGGTTGAGGGTCTCCATGGGTTGAGGGTCTCCATGGGTTGAGGGTCTCCATGGGTTGAGGGTTTCCATGGGTTGAGGGTCTCCATGGGTTGAGGGTCTCCATGGGTTGAGGGTCTCCATAGGTTGAGAGTCTCCATGGGTTGAGGGTCTCCATGTGTTGAGGGTCTCCATGGGTTGAGGGTCTCTGAGGGTGTGGGTTGAGGGTCTCCATGGGTTGAGGGTCTCCATGGGTTGAGGGTCTCCATGGGTTGAGGGTCTCCATGGGTTGAGGGTCTCCGTGGGTTGAGGGTCTCCATGGGTTGAGGGTCTCCATGGGTTGAGGGTCTCCATGGGTTGAGGGTCTCCATGGGTTGAGGGTCTCCATGGGTTGAGGGTCTCCATGGGTTGAGGGTCTCCATGGGTTGAGGGTCTCCATGGGTTGAGGGTCTCCATGGGTTGAGGGTCTCCATGGGTTGAGGGTCTCCATGGGTTGAGGGTCTCCATGAGTTGAGGGTCTCCATGGGTTGAGGGAAAGTAGCCATAAAAGCAAAGGTCCTGATGAAGAATTGATATCGATTTCGCTGTTATCGGTGGAGGATAGCGACTCAGTGGCCTGGTACTAGCCTGGATGGTCAGTAGACTTAAAGCGGGACGCACAAACAATGGTACCAAAGGTGCACCCATAAATGTAACCGTAACGTCAACTAATTATCTGACCTTAGGGCTTATAAATGGCAGCACCTTTGTCCCCCCCCAAAATAATGACAAAAGCCGAAGATTGGAAGATTTATACAATGAAACAACCATGTATTACTAATTAATATTTTGTACTTTAGGGTATTCATTAGTTTACATTTAACAGCCGAAAAGAACAAATTATTAAAAAATTAATTGACTTTATGCTTATAAAAGAAGTATGCTTGAGTGCCTGCCTGACCTGAGACCTGAGTATGAGGACCTGAGTATGAGGAATATATGAAGAACTTTTGGATCACAATTTGTGGCAGTACGAGATTGTGAGCGCTGAAATGGTATTTTAATTTCCCAAGGGTCTATGAGGTCTATAACAGAGGGTCTATAACACTAGGAGGCTACGGCAGGCACACTTGATAAGTCAGCCTGGAAATGGTTAGGTTAGGTTCAGTTATGTTAGGCTATGTTATCTTAAGTTAGTTTAAAAAAGTCGGTTCTTTTTTATTACTAGCTGTTCAAAAATCATTGGTAGCCGAGGCAATATCCCCAAAGACCCGACAGCACTCGGGGTCAGAGTACGACTCGCTAGGGGGTTTTCAGCTCCTGGCGGTCTAAGGTTCGAACCCTCTCAGGAGGAAGAGTTTTGCTAATACATATATATATATATATATATATATATATATATATATATATATATATATATATATATATATATGCACAACTATATTCTACCC